AGAGCACACTGCAATTAAACTAGGCTATGGTCTTTCTGGAACAGTTAGTGGAAAGATAGAGGAGTGGACACACATTAGTGGCTTTCAGAGTTTTCAGCTCGACTAACGGAAAAGAAAAAAAATACGATTACATTAAACTTCATGACTACATGTGCTTACAGGAATTAGCTCTGAGGCTCTGAGGAAATCATCCTGGGACCCCAAATCAAAGACTGTGATCTCAGCGAGAAGCAGAGCCAACAGCCAATAACTATTTAACCATCTGTGCTATATCATCTCAGCAACTTACTGTCCTTCTCTAGAGGCCTATCTGAGATGGGGGGGGGAGAGAGAGAAAGTGAGCTCACAGAGCCTTGAGGGCTGTATGCTCTCGTGAAGCTATATGCTCTCATAAGGCACACATGTTTAAGGCACACATGCTTTCCCCAGGTAACACATGTGCCTGTGAGGTCTTGAATGTTGGTTCTCTTTACTCACAGGTTTCCCATAATGTTTGAACCTCTGAAATACTCTATTGACCCTCAATGACAAAACATCTGCAGTATATGCTAATGGGATCCTGGGTTTACCCAAAGAGTTCTTATCTTTTAAATATTCAACTCAGAGATTTTCTGCTTAAATTATCTGATGACCCAGAACTTGCTTTAAGATGGTCCTGTGTGTGGGGGGTCTTGGTCATGGGACAGTATGTCAAACATTATTGTCCATAAACCAATAACCAAGGAAGGTGGCTGGTTAGATCTACGATGGATCTCGACACTGTCTTCCTTTGTGTATGTTGAAATTTTCCATAAAAATAGCTGTACACAATACAAGGATACGATTTTTAAAAAACCTGGAATAAATGTTCTGTAGTATTACTAATATCAACACTGTAATTTAGCTTTTCAAGGAAAGTGCAAAGAAAATGAACTTCTGGAGACACCGCGTGCCCTTGTTTTGTGTTTGGTGGTGTTTTGTGTATTTTATACAGTCAGACACTGGATGCATGTGCTTGCTTCTCATGATGCTATATAGACCTCTGGAATAGTGGGTTTAGTGTGTCCCATTTTCCAGGTACTTCTTAGGTAATGCACCTATTACTTCCTTACATGCACTTTGGTGTGATAATTAGCAAATACAAGGTTGAAGAAGCCAAATAAGAGTTGGCATCAACCATTTCTCACAACGATGTGACTTGGTTTATTCTCTTGTTTCTGGAGTGCTAAGATTGAATTTAGTGCCTTGAGTAGGCTCAACAAGCATCCCACCACTGAGCTACGTCTCCAGCACTTGATTTCTTCCTTTCTGTGTATGTATGTTTATGCATGCACAGGTACACACACGTGTGAATGCATACATATATGTACTTGCTTATGGATGCTGGGGTAAACTCCCAGGGGTCAGTCTCAGGAGCCATCCACTGTGCTTTTTGAGACAGAGTATCTCATTGGTCTAAAAATGTGCCAAGTAAGTTAGGCTGGCTGGCCAGTGAGATCTATGGATCTGTGAGCTTTGCCTCCTTAGCACTTAGGGTTACAAGCAGGCACCACTGTGCTTAGCTTTTTAAAGGCAGGTTTGGGGGATCAAACTTGGGACTTCATGCTTGTGTAGCAAACACTTTACTAATTAAACTGCCTCCCCTGCCCCATTTCTTAAGAAGACATGACTAGGTTGACAAAATGGCTCAGTATGAATATCTGAGTTTGATCCACAGAACCCATGTGGTGGAAGGACACACCTGACTCCAAAAAGTTTTCCTCGGATGCTCACACACATGCCACAGTGTGCATTCCTGCAAGAGTTTGTGCATACGCATGAATCAATCAATCAATCAATCAATCAATAAATGTAATTAAAAGACCAAGCAGGTGTGGTGACATGTGTTTGTGATGATGAAGAAAAAGAGGAGAAGGAAGAGGATATGGAAGACATAATGTGTCACCAATGACCTCTCGTGAGGTTCTAATCTCTAGAATATCAGGGGAAAGGGCTGATGTAAGCAGTGCACAAGCAATAGACAGGTAAAGATCAGAAATCCTGACTCCAAGGTTGAGTTGTTCGGGTCCTGCTCTTGCCACTCAAGGAGCTTCATGACCTTGGGTAGGTCATCTAACTTTGCAGAGCTTTCCAGTGCTCTAGACATGAAATGGATGTCACAGTGGAATCTTCTGGTGTTGAAGATTAGGGTTCTATCTGACTGGAGGGAACATTTAGTGGACACTCACCTTTGTCCTTGCCACTAAGTAAGCATGAGACTAGGTAAGGCAGAGAACAAAGTGCTGTGTGAGCTTGCTTCTGGACTGTCAATCAATGGGTGCTTTGGTTTTTTTCTTTGTCTTTTTCACCAGACTTTTCAATTAGCTAGCACTTGTTATTCTTATATTTAGAAATTCTCTCTCTGTCTTTCTTTCTTGAGACAGGGTCTCATGTTGTATATAGCTTTCCTGCTTCTGCTTCTCAGTTGCTAGGATTACAGAGCCTTGGCCAGCTAAAACGTATCTCTTGAAAGTAATTTTACAAGTTGAGGGCCAGTGAAATGGCTCGGTGGGAAAAAGCGCTTGTCTTAAGCCTGATGACCTGAGTTTGAGCCCTGGGTTCCACATCATGGAAGGAAAGAACTGACTCTTGCCAGTTGTCTTCTGACCTCCATACAAACGCTGTAGCAAGCTCATGCCCACATATGCATTAAATTAATAATGCGTATAATGAGAAATTAAAAAGTATGAACAAAAGTCTTTTCAGAGAAATTTCAATGCCCAGTAGGACCTCCACTATGCATCTTCCAGATGATATTTTTAAAAATTGTGTTTAACTTCCATATCGTAAGTGTGTTACAATATAGAGTACATGTGATGTTTTTGATACACGGATCTGGAATGTAATATAGCTGATAAGCACACCCATCATTTAGTTTACTTGACATTTTTGGGATGTATTTGAAACCTATCTTTTTGTTTATATTGAAATGTGCGCATTTTGACCAACACGACCACTTCCTGGAAGAGTCCAGTGGAGAGCCAACCCTGCTCTGCCTGCATCTTCCTAGCAGGCTCTCTCCTCTTCGGGGAGCAGAGCTGCTTCAAGGCCAGTGACAGTGATGTTCACTGTGTGCACTGATGGTCTCACCAGCTCCTGTTCCAAGCCATCTGCCCACAACACTGCTCCTCCAAATCAGCAGGCCAACCTCTTTTGAAGGATGTGAATCCCCTTGGTCTGGTTATGAATATCACTTTGAAGAAAAAAATCACACCAACGGTGTCTAGTTTCCTATCCTAGGGTCTGCTCTGCTCCATAGAGCTCATCTCCACTGGCTAGTAGGTTGTCTAAGCCACAGTGGAATGGCAGACTGGGGGATGCATAGAGGCACAACAGGCACATGGATGATGTTGAGAAAAATGGACCTCTACAGATCTGGAATTGTAAGCCGGATAAATTTGTGGTTAATTACGGGCATTACATAGAAGGTTTTTGCTTTGCCAGATGATTTACATGGGGACATCTATAAATAGCAAGCCCATGCTGTGTGTTTGAGTCATGCTGCTGTTTTACTCAAAGACTAAGACCTTTCTAGAACACACCTATTGCAGGATGACAGGCCCAACGCGAAGTTTCAAACATGAAGAAACACTTTCACTCTTTCTCTGAGTCATACCATCCACAGAATTCCAGATCACCTCTGAAACAGCAACTGGCCCTTGGCCTCTCTAGGACTGGTGATCAATGGTTGACAAGAACGAGTCCTGTCAGGTTGCAGGTAGAAGAAGAGGCATAAGGAACCTGCTTCGGAAAGGACCATCTAGTGTGGTGGATCCCGCTTCCCTAGCTCCCAAAGGGACATACATGTGTGTCAGGGCACCAGGATAGAGTTAGGCAATCTTAACCTCTTCCTCAAATGGTCTTGTCTACCTTCCAACTGAATTTTAGAGAAGTTGCCACCAGTGCCCATTTGAGATAGCCACGAATTAAACTGGTGCACAGAGTTTGGTCTTAGACCACCACCTCTGATGGTTAACTATTGACACTGGGAATGTACATTGCCAACATCATGCCCATCACCACTACCTCGAGCTGTTTGATGTCATCCAAGGTTGCACAGCATGACCACGGGAACCCACTTTGCCTTGCTCTGGTCTTATCCAGCATCCCTTTGGACATAGGGAGCACTCACCTCCCCCACATCTCACCCAGGTACTCACAAAGACCTCTGCACAGTCAGGAGTGCCCCCACCCCCACCCCCGCCACACACACTTAAATGAATCTATGAAACTAACTGCAACTCCATCTTACAAGGTTTAGTTTCCCGGCGGGGTTGCCATTTGGCTCTGCACAGTTAAGCAGCCACGCTTTACTTGGTTCTCTTCCAGTTTTTCCAAACATGTGCCTGGCACCCACGCAAGTTTCAGAGGAAGTATAAATGTGACAGGAGACGTGCTGCCGGTTTGGTTTTGTGTATGTGTGTTAGTGTGACTCTTAAAAAGACAAGTGTTAAGTTCTACAGAGTAGCAACTTCTACATGGGGAAAACTAACTTTCTTACAATCCCAGTTACTTCTCTTTGCCTAATATATTTCTTTGAACTCTTGGTATCTGAAGTTAGGTAGGCACCCTAGTAAGCAAAGAGTCCCTGAGATCCCAGGATGAGGCACACTTTGTGGGCTCAGTGCCCAAGCTTTCTAAAGGAGTATCTCTAGGCTATCTCAGTCTTTCTGCCCCCAAAAGCTACCAGTTCCCACCCGCACTGGGGACGCAAGCAGGTTTAGGGCACACATCACCCTAACTCCCTCTCCTACCCCCAAAAAGCCATCTGGGCACCAGGATGAGGGTGAAGTGCCTGGGCTCTTAAGGCAAAGGGCTGCAAAGGTTTGTGTCTGGGCAGCTGGCTCAGCATGAGAAGCAGCAGGTCCTGCTGGTCCCAGATCACTGGGGATGTGTCCCAGCTCCCCTGGCACAGGACCCCTGAGGAAAGGTGACAGAGGGAAAAGGGACCCAGCGGTTTCCCCAGAGCAGGCACACGGTACCTTGGATTCCAGGCTGCTGGTGGACGCAGGAGAGGGCGGCTGCTCTGTGCCCATTGCCTCCCTGGTCAGTCCGTCCCCGCTGTCCTCGCGGGCGCCACTTGGAGGGATCATCGTGGCCGCTGGAACGGTGTTGGTCTCCTGGGAGGAACCGCAGGTTCGCCTGCCTTTGCGCTCGCTCGCTCAGTGCTGGGTCCCTGGGATGTCCATCCCGCCAGGCAGCAGCGTGCACCCTGGGGCCTTGCCTGGCCGGGTCCTGCCCACCTCCCGGGCCTCCGCCCCGCCCCGCGCAGCGCCCGCGGCCACCTCGCCCGAGATCGCGCGCGTGGAGTCGTGACTGCCGCCCACCGCAGCAGGCGGGTGGGCCCAGGCTGGCCCCCTGGAGGACGCCAGGCAGCGGCTTGGGGCGTGGCTGCGTGGTCTCGGGTGGGGAACCCAGGGAGGGCGGGGGGGCGGCGCACCTACCCAGGCAGTGTCAGAGATCAGCGCAGGGTCTGGTGATATTCTAAGGGAAATGCTCAGCAAACCCCCAAGGAACAGAAACGGAGTACAAAAGTGCTATGGGCCACTTTCAGCAACCCCCTCATCCCTGGCCCCGAGAGCGAAGGAAGATGTGGTGGCACTTAGCTTAATTTATAGTTCAGTGACAGCAGGGACCAGTGTGGGCGTCCTCTGACCCATGGGCACTGCAATTTCCAATGTTCTGCCCTGATCTAAATCAGGCAGATAATACGTTTGGTGTATGGGCACCTGGTCCCCAATTTCTCTTGCTGAGCCTCTAGTGCTCACTACGGGTTTGTCACGTTCACTTCCATTTATAGACGAGGAAGCCGAGGCTTGAACCCGGTTGCTTAAAGTCAGTCACTCAGCTATAAATGGCAGAGCTGGGACTTGGGAGTGATTTGGGATTTTCATATCCATGCCATTTGGACTGTGGAGCCTGAAAGCTAAGCCAGGCTTAGAAGTGAAGAGGAAACGTGTCGCAGGGCTGTGCTTACTGCTTAACCTGTATAGACTTGTGAACTGGACTACTTTCTCAATCTTTTGGCACCTGACACCGAACGTTACTGAACCAAGGCACAGAGGTTCCGGTTTGTTTTACAGACATGACAGAGTACGTAGCCCAAGGGAATATTCCTAAATTTATAAAAGCCTTTCCAAAATCAGTACAAAACTCCCTCCTTGTTTTTATGTCTTTAAAAAATTAAATTTACTTTGTAGTTAGAATGTAGAGCAACGGGGCTCCTGGTTATATATTTTCATATGCACAAGGAAGGTCTCATTCCTATTTACTCTCCTTTGTGGCCCTCCTCCTCCTCACCCCCGAAATCAGGTAACCCAGGAGGCTGGTATGGAAAGGCCAGCCTAGGATAAGTGAGGAGTTCTAGACTAGCCTTGGCTACAGAGTAACAACTTGTCTCAAAACATAAAACAAAACAAAATGAAAGAAGACAAAACCAACCCTAAAACCAAACAGACCCTACAAACTCCACTGTGACTCAGCCCAGCCCTGTTGGTTAGCCTTACAGGCCTTAGGTGTCCCCTCCTTGAAATGCTAGTCACATTTGCTGGGTGGGGATGAAGTTCTCACCAGGAGACATCACACCAACCACTGGCCTTAGGCAGCACGAAGAGCCCACAACTCCATAGAGATGGATCCTTGGCTGTATCTGCTATGTGAGAGATTGTTTACTAGAAACTGCTACAGTGTTACAGTGTGAAGAAAAACATCAGTAGGACCTACTCTTCTGGGTATAAAAAGTGTGAGTGAGAGAGAGACAGAGACACACAGAAAGAGACAGAGAGAATAATCAACCAACACACTCATGCACACTCATGTAGAGCTAACCAACTGATGATGGGCAGTATAGGACTCTAGTAAATATGTATAATGTGAGGACTGTACTAATACAGGGAGGGCCAGGGGAATATCCCTGGGAAATGGTACTTCTAGGGTATTATAGACCTTTGCCTTAGGGAGATAGCATACCCTGGCTTACAACAAGAAATCATTCATCTTTAGGTTTTGTTTTGTTTTTTAGAGTTGAAGGTGCTACCTCTTGTTTTAAAATGCCCAGTTTTAGTTATCAATAGCATCAAACGAAGATATAAGAAATGCTGTCTTCTGATGGAAGCAGCATTTGAGCTAGGGTTCAATGCCTGAGTCCCTGTACCTGTTAGGTACATACTGCACCACGGTGCTCAGCTCCATCTCCTACTCTTTTTTCTTTTGAGGTGACTGTCACCACACTGTTGACGAATAAGGGAAGTTAGCTAGACCACAAAAGAATTCACTAAAGCAAAACACAAGAACAAAGATTTAGTTTTACTAACGACCTTCTGCCTCAGCCTTGTAAGAAGGTAGGACTACAGGTCTATGGGATTCTGGGAAAGTTACCTCCTTGAACCTGACCTTTGGTCTACTAACAGAAATTGTAGCTGTGGTGTCTGAGGAGATGAGTCAGTTGGCAAAATGCTTAACATATATGCAAGAGTACCTGAGGTCGATCCCCATATCCCATGAAAAAGCTGGAACTGGTGCTCACACTTGTAATGCCAGTGATGAGGAAGCGAGATGCAGAGATAAGGCAGGTGTCTGGAGTTTGCTGGTTGACTAGCCATGCCTGCTTAGTGGAGTTCCAGACCAGTGAAAGAGCTTGTCTTAAACAAAAGGCAGAAGACACCTGAGGAATAATAACATCTGCAATTGTTCCTTGATCTACACACACAAACACACATGCACACACTGACACACAGAGACAGAAAGACACAGACACACACATACACACAAACACAGACACACAGAGAAAGACACAGACATCCTCACAAACACACAGAGAGACAGAGACAGACACACAGAGAGAGACAGATCACACACACACACACACACACAGAGAGAGAGAGAGAGAGAGAGAGAGAGAGAGAGAGAGAAAGGGATGAGTTTTTATCATTTTATTTTTTGTCATCTAACTATTATTCTTCCACATATATCTACAAGGGTTTACTACTCTTTGTGGTCTCCCTCTTTAGCCCCTTTAACTCACTTAGGCTTCTAGTTTGTGTCTGTTGCTATTATAAAACACTGACTAAAATCAGCTTGGGTGGGAGGATCATTTATTTGGCTTACAGGTTATAGTCCATCATCAGGGAAGCCAAAGCAGGACATCAAAGCAGGACCCTGGAGTCAGGAACTGAAACAGAGTCACTGCTTACTTGGTTTTTGCTCAGCTATCTGTCCAGGCTCATTTGCCTAGGGATGGCACTGACCTCAGTGAGATCACTCCCATATCAATTACCAATGAAGAAAATGCCAAAGACATTTAATTCTTTAATTGAGGTTCCTTTTCCCCATGTGACTCCACGTTTGTGTCAAGTAAACAGCTAAATTTGATAAGCTCACTGGCTTCCGTGAGGGTAAGGGATATTCCAAAGGGGAGTTGCATTCGTAGCCCCTGTCTGGGAGCAGATATGAAATGACCAGAGTGAGCCTGGGCTGAGTTTGTTGTTATTGGGCTCCTGGCACACTTGAAGGGAAGCTGCATCTGAGACAGGAGTTGAAAGTGCTGCTGCTTATGGTCGTGGATGGTTATATCTGCTTCCAAGTCCTACAGTGATCACAGCATCACATTTGTCACAGAGGATTCCTGGACCCAGTACTGTGGAGAAAGGCTATGTTGATGACAATGCCTACAGGACAATGATGACATATGGGAGTGTGAGTGGCATGGTCAGCCCACAGAGTAGTTCTCCATGGCCCCGGCTGAGCGTGATGTCTCTGCTCTGCACGGCTTTGTGCAATTCTTCTCCTACTCTGTGTTGGGTTATTTTTGTCAACTTGATGCAAGTTGAAGTCATCTGGGAAGAGGGAACCTCATCTGAGGAATTTCCTCCAACAGATTGGCCTGTGAGCATGTATATGGGGTCGTTTTCTTGACCAGTCAATGATTGGTGTTGAAATTACAGGCCAGCTGTGGGTAGTGCCACCCCTGGGCAGGTGAGCCTAAGTTATGCAAGAGAGCAAACTGAGAAAACCATGAGAAGCAAGCCAATGAGCAGCACTCCTCCATGGTCCTTGTGTCAATTCTGGTCTCCCAGTTCTTGCCTTGAGTTTCTGCCCTGACGTCTACTCAGTGATGGACTATGATTGGGTCATGTGAGTCAAATGTGCTTTCTCTTTCCCACATTATAGAAACCTAACTAGGACATACTCTCTTCCACTACTAGCAACAAGGGAGTGAGACTTCACAGAAGGCTGTTAGATATGCATTAGGAGTTAGGATGGCATTTTAGCTGTGGCTACTGAATAACCTCACTTTTACTGCGAGCTCACAGGTTCAGGGAAGAAAGGCTATATGTGGTCATTACAGGTCTCAACTTTACAACCTATGATTTTTGAATTTCACTTATGGTCCACGTCTTTCTGGCTGCTAGATGAAGATATAGCCAACAGATGCATAGAGTGCTCAGAACTTTGTAAAGACTTGACCTGGGAGCCCTCACTCCTGCTTCATATGATTGTCCATTAATTTTTAGCAAGGCCAGATGCTCTGAGTTTGGGTGTAGATTCTGTTTTCATCTCGTGAGTTTTGACGTCTAGATCCATTTGGTAAAAATGACAGGATGACTGCTTGCAAAAGCAGTCACACCTATTAAGACTTTAAGTGTGTAGATCAAGGAAAAGGACATGGCAGATCACTGAGATGCTTAGAGAATAATCTGCTGACTGGGCAAAGAGGATACCACTCAAGGACGGACTGGTTCTCAGTACCCAAATGGGCTGGGCCCTGAACCTCAACTTCCTTATCTGAAATAAGATAATAACATTTAGCCAAAACATGGCCTGATAACATTATTATCATCATTGTCATCACCATTATATCATCACTACCATAGATGTCACTGTCCTTATTGCCATCATTGTCACCAATCTCATAATCATCAATCGTCATCATCATCACCGTCATTTTCACTAGTTGCATGATTTTGTCATTGGTTTGAGTTGGGCTAACTGATCATTGTGGTGCAGTATATAAAAAATACCTCAAGTGTATCTATTGTACCACCCTAAAATTAATAGTTCTTGGATGGGGAGCAAAGAAATGGTGTCTGTTTAAAATTTCCTGCATATAAAGTGAACTCATCTTTTGTGTTTTGACACATTATCATGCAATTAGCATTTAGCTAGACATAGTCTGTCCTCTTACAAGTTCTGAGTCTAAGAGTCATAGAATCCAGTCCATGCTAGTCTTTGTGCTCATCAGAAAACATGTGATGTATTCTGTTTCCAAAATCAGTGCCT